TGAGATTATTATTACGAAAGCTCGGAGTGTCCGAACATGAAAAATTCTGTAATTTTATCCTCCCAAAGAAGCCATCCGACATAACGTTCAAAGAAACAGTTGAATGCCTGACTCATATATTTGGTGAACGGTCATCAATTTTTCACACTAGATACCAGTGTCTTCAACTTGTAAAGAAAGTACAGGACGATTACGTAACGTATGCAAGTATCGTGAACCGGGAATGTGAGCGGTTCCGATTACAGGAAATGTCCTCAGATCAATTCAAGTGTCTTATTTTTGTATGTGGATTACAATCTCCAGTAGATGCAAATATTAGAGCACGAATTCTAACGAGAATCGAACAAGATCCTAATATCAGTCTACAATCAGTATCTGAAGAGTGTCAAAGAATGATTAATTTGAAGCATGACACGAATCTAGTAGAAAGGAACAGTGAACACTTTGGAGTCAAAGCTTTACGTAAATCTTTTAATGGAAATAAAGATTCGAACTCCCAGAAAATCCCGAATCAAGTGAAACACAAAACGTCATGCTGGTGATGTGGTAAGTGTCATTCTGCCAATGCTTGTTACTTTAAAAAACGAGTATGCTTTCAATGTGGTAAATATGGTCATGCTCAAGTATGTTGCAAAAGTAAATCAAAGGTTTCTGACCGTGAGCATAAGTTCCGTAAACGAAATAAGATACAGACTTCAAAAGAAATACCACATAACCGTAAGTTAGAGGAAGATATAGTGGTTGCTTCTATAACAATTGAACCGGAAATAAAAAGAGTGTTCTGTGATGCTATCAGAATCCTACCAGTAACGGCAGAAGCAGTTAAAGAAGCCACGACTAGTGATCCTCTACTTAAAAGGATAAAAGAAGCTGTTTTAAAGGGTTGGAAACAGGACAAAGCTGATCGAGAGTTTCACCAATTTTTCTTGAGACGTGAGTCTATATCGATTTATGATAATTGTTTGATGTATGGTGAACGTGTTGTTATCCCTAAATCTCTTCAGCTTTTTGCGCTTAAACAGTTTCACATTGGTCATCCGGGAATGAACAGAATGAAGGCATTTATGCGTAGTTATGTTTATTGGCCATTCATGGATAAGGCTGTGGAAGAATACGTATTGAGATGTCGGCGATGTGCCGAAGGTGCAAAATATCCACCGAAGGTAGAATCCCAGCCATGGCCAGAAACGAAAAAGCCTTGGGTCCGATTACACGTTAATTATGCTGGACCAATAAGTGGACAATATTTTTTGGTGGTGGTTGATTCGTACTCGAAGTGGCCTGAAATTTATGTGGTATGAAGACCATCTACGTCTGAAACACTGCTACATCTGAGACAATTATTTGGTAGGTTTGGTACACCTAATGTTTTGGTTTCAGATAACGGGACGCAGTTCACGTCGTTAGAGTTTGCGGAGTTCTGTAAACAGAATGGAATCGAACACGTTAGAACTCCACCGTATCACCCTAAGTCGAACGGGCAGGCAGAGAAATTTGTTGATATTCTTAAACGAGCTCTCTTAAAGATGGGAGGAGAAGGCAACGTAGAAGAGGCTCTGCAACAATTTCTCATTTCTTATAGAATTACGCCAAGTCCAAACTGTCAAGATGGGAAATCTCCAGCCGAAATAATGTTTGGCCGACCGATTAGAACATTTTTTGATGTTTTGAACCCGAAAGACAGAATCAGTGGACTACAAAAAAATAACAAAGGGAATTGCCTGAAAATTCGAGAATTCAAAGTAGGTGACTCAGTCTATGCACGGGATTTCCGGCCTGGCAAGCCAAAATGGATATTTGGGTTTATAAAAAAACGACGTGGTACAGTATTATATGAAGTGATGGTCGAAAATACACTAATTATTAGACATGTAAATCAACTGCGAGATAGAAAATGTGTTTATGAGTCATCTAAACTCAAACCATTACCAATGGAAGTTTTATGTGATACATTTGATATTCCACCACCACCACCACAAGTTGAAATGAGAAAAAATGATCTAGAATCAGAAGTTAGAAGGTCATTCAGGAAACGGAAACAAACGAAATTTTTTCAAGTAGACCCTAAAGTGAAATCATACGATCAAACATCGCGAGGGAGGTGATGTGTGGGCGAGAATGATAATGATTGGTTGTCTCGATGAGTCAGACATTAGAGGGGATGACAGGTGTTATATGTGTTATATATATTCATCATTGTTGAAAGCGTGAGTCAATTGAAGCTAGACCACCATGGAAAACCTGGAAACACTGGACGGCCGTTTCGTCCTATTATGGGACTCCTCAGCAGTGCGCATCCACGAACCTGCTCTCGCGAGCGAGATTCGAACCCAGGACCTACCAGTCTCGAGCAGAAGCCCTTAACCGATAGACCACTGAGCTGGCATCCAACGGTGTTAATGTCTAACTTCAACTGATCCACGAAGTTGAGCAACACCGTTGGATGCCAGCTCAGTGGTCTATCGGTTAAGGGCTTCGGCTCGAGACTGGTAGGTCCTGGGTTCGAATCTCGCTCGCGAGAGCAGGTTCGTGGATGCGCACTGCTGAGGAGTCCCATAATAGGACGAAACGGCCGTCCAGTGTTTCCAGGTTTTCGATGGTGGTCTGGCTTCAATTGACTCACGCTTTCAACAATGATAAATACTAAATCTCCACAAAACCCCTTCTATAATTATTATAATAATATGCTCACTAGTGATTTCGAGAAGTATATCTAGGAGCTCTAGTGAGAAGCAGTGACCAGTGGAGTTCAAAACCACGTCTGTTGTGAGATAGGAACTCACTGAAGACAATTGGTGAATGGTTGCTCAACTTCGTGGATCAGTTGAAGTTAGACATTAACACCGTTGGATGCCAGCTCAGTGGTCTATCGGTTAAGGGCTTCGGCTCGAGACAGTGAAATAAGTATATATTGACGTTATAGTCAGGCTAATATTGTGTTCTTGATCTGAGTTCTGTTGAAGTCCTGTAGAATAGACACTGGGTGGGAATCTAGTGTAGATATTCGTCTAGGATAAATTAACGTCCCACATACGGGTAAGAAGTAAAAGGACTGTTATAACCAGAAACCCCTAAAGTTATAACCAGCATCCTCTCTCTCTCTACGTTTATAACAATTAGCGACAGCATACATACGTTTATAACACCTCCCAATCGATGTTGGCCCACCAACAATTGAAGAGATCAGAATGGCCATTAGACAAATAAAGAGTGGCAAAGCAGCGGGACCAGACAACATCCCGGCAGAGGCACTGAAAGCAAATGTAACAGCAACTGCCAAGATACTACACATCCTCTTCAGTAAGATTTGGGACGAAGAACAAGTACCAACAGACTGGAAAAAAGGACTTCTGATCAAGATACCAAAGTAAGGCGATCTCAGCAAGTGCGACAACTACAGGGGCATCACTCTCCTCTCAATACCAGGGAAAGTCTTCAACAGAGTATTATTAAACAGGATGAAGGATTCCGTGGACGCCCAATTTCGAGATCAACAAGCTGGATTTCGTAAGGATAGATCGTGCACAGATCAAATCGCAACTCTGCGGATCATTGTGGAACAATCAATCTAATGGAATTCATCACTCTACATCAACTTCATCGACTACGAGAAGGCATTTGACAGCGTGGACAGGACGACATTATGGAAGCTTCTTCGACACTACGGCGTGCCTGAGAAGATAGTAAATATCATACGGAACTCCTATGATGGACTAAACTGCCAAATTGTCCACGGAGGACAACTCACCGACTCGTTTGAAGTAAAGACCGGTGTTAGGCAAGGTTGCTTACTCTCACCCTTTCTCTTTCTCCTGGTCATCGACTGGATCATGAAGACGTCAACATCTGGAGGAAATCACGGGATACAGTGGACAGGCAGGATGCAACTTGACGATCTAGACTTCGCGGATGATCTGGCTCTTCTATCACAAACGCAACAACAAATGCAGGAGAAAACGACCAGTGTAGCAGCAGCCTCAGCATCAGTAGGTCTCAATATAAACAAAGGGAAAAGCAAGACTCTCCGATACAACACAATATGCACCAATCAAATTACACTTGACGGAGAAGCTTTGGAGGATGTGAAAACCTTTACATATCTGGGCAGCATCATTGATGAACATGGTGGATCAGATGCAGATGTGAGGGCGAGGATCGGGAAAGCAAGAGCAGCATACCTACAACTGAGAAACATCTGGAGCTCAAAACAGTTGTCAACCAACACCAAGGTTAGAATTTTAATACAAATGTGAAGACAGTTCTACTGTATGGGGCGGAGACGTGGAGAACTACGAAAGCCATTATCCAGAAGATACAAGTGTTCATCAACAGCTGTCTACGGAAAATGCTTCGGATCTGATGGCCAGACACTATCAGCAATAAGTTACTGTAGGAGAGAACAAACCAGATTCCAGCAGAGGAAGAAATCAGGAAGAAGCGCTGGAAGTGGATTGGGCACACCTTGATGAAATCAGCTAATTGCGTCACAAGACAAGCCCTCACATGGAATCCTGAAGGTCAAAGGAGAAGAGGAAGACCAAAGAACACATTACGCCGAGAAATAGAGACAGACATGAGAAGAATGAACAAGAACTGGATAGAACTAGAAAAGGAAGCCCAGGACAGAGTGGGTTGGAGAAAGCTGGTCGGCGGCCTATGCTCCATTGGGAGTAACAGGCGTAAGTAAGTAAGTAATATTCCCTAAAAATGGTCACATGTTTATATTTACTTTAAAAAAAGAAAACAACAAAAATCACAAACAATAAAAACAAAAGTAACAACTAGTTATTGATTGGATGATTTGAAATAATGATCAGCATTTTTGTATCCATTTGCCAATAATAATAATAATAATAATAATAATAATAATAATAATTATTATTATTATTATTATTATTATTATTATTATTATTCCGGGCAAGAAGATCATTAACTCGTATATATGTTACATCTAATGTCAATCTAGTTAGGTGGTTGTTTGTTTATTTTATCTCTCCTTCTCATTTTTTTTCAATACATCTTCTAAGATAATAAGTAGATTTCCATTCATTAAAATCACATTCTAAAAAGTTAAACAATAATTCAATTTCAAATTGTACATTTAATTTATCAGTGATATGATGTAATTCTTTAATGACTTGTAATATTTCTGTAACCCATGGATTAGATAGTTTTATTCGTTTACTATATTTTATATTTTTTAATAATTCCGATATAAATGAGATGATATAATCTAATAAGTTTGGTTTATCTTTAAAAGTTGTATAAATTAATGATTTGATATCTAGTTGTATAGGAATATCATAGGCCATTGTTAAACGACCCAAAAATCCACCAAAATATTTTAATATTTTACCATTAGAAACATTAAGATTTGGTAGTTTTAATAAATAATCAATTTCTTTTGTTAAAATTTCTAACATCATTGTCTCAAAATTTGTATAATGTTCTGAAATCATTGTTATAAACTTATAGTATACATTATGTTGACTTGGTTCTGAAGCAATACGATTTATAATTGAATAAGCAAGCCATTGAGTAAAATAATATGGTATAATAGTAGTGATTTCATCTACTTGACTTTTTAGATTATATTCAGTAAGATTATTCATTATAAAACAGATTTGTTTCGATATATATTCTGGAGGTGAAATACACCTTGATACAAGCTTGGATTCCATTATTTCATAGTGAATCAAACAAGATTTTGAGGATTTTAACAATGTCTATAAACTGAATAGTGTTTTATGATGAATAATAAATAGGTAGACGTAAATCATTTTGAATTGCTGAAGGTCATATTTAAAAAATCAATAATAATGACAGTTCTATTGATTTTTATTCACAGGTAAATTGTAAATCAAACACTTTTAATTTACTTAAGGTTATTGATCACAGAATTTTCAGTGTTATAAAACCTACGTAATCTTAAATCTGGAATCAATTTTCGATATGAAATAGTTAAATACGGGAGTAAATAGCATGGAAATTTAAACATATGTCGAAGTGGGACAATGTGAGACCTGAAGAGTTGAGTATTCATTGCATCAAAAATACTGAAAACAACAAACTGTTTATTAATACTCATTTTGAACATAAATCTAGACATTGTCTTCCCAATAATTATAAAATACAAGTGAAAGTATTCTAGTTATGCCATGTAGACCAATATCAAGTGATTAGGCTTCATACCTTTGAAGTTAGACAGAACATTTTGCTACACTATATATTTAACCAATACATAAACTGGAATATCTAGGGAATTCACTACTGTACTAGCTTCAGAATTATACTTTCGTTAAACTTGTTTGAACATTTATTTATTTATTTAAGCACATAGATATTGGTACAAAGAAGCACCAGATACATATGCACCGCACAAATCTCATTTGATTTGTCTGAGGGCTGTGATACTGCCCAGGTGCCCAAACTGAAGCAGGTGGTTTTCTTAGGGGGCCACAAGCGGAGCCTTTGACCTGAAAGTCTAATCCACAAGGCAGTGGAGCATCGTAAGGAGATGCAGTCACATGGTAGCCGGTGACCAACAATAGGTTCATTCGCCATTCGTTCCATCAGGATACTGGAGCCCATGTGCACCATTGGTTTGGAATCAGGGTTTTCCAACTCCCCTAGGTGGACCCTCCGTGTCCACCAACCCGGTTAAAGCGCCGGACATTCGCTTTTCGTCCTCTCACTTTCGCAAACAACACCCCCATCACGAGAAGGCAGTGAGTAGGACTTCCCTGTCAGAGGCTATATACTCGTGGCCATGTGAGAGCATTTGGAGAGGGAGAGCGGACTTTCCCCACTCTTGGCCGTACCAGGGCATTTTCGGGCAAAGCCGTTGCGCCCGATGAGGGACGCAACACTATGCAAATATCTATAAAGAAACGTATGTATAAAATTTAACTCATGTATTTGTAGGTCAATACTATAAATCTTTAATAATTTCATAATTAGCTTTAAACGTATTTCTGTTAATTGTGAATAAAACTATTGAAACAACTTTCACCTTAAAATATCCTTATTATGTTGAATTATTCAATTTATGAGGTTAAATATAGTTTAAAAGTTTCTGATTATATCTTTTTTGGAACACGTCTTATCAGAGAAAAATCGATAGAAATGGTTAATTATTTAAAAACTTTAATGTTGAATATTTTACTTACACGTACATATTAATCAGTACTGTAACAGATATTCGGCGGCCTATGCTTTATTGGGAGTAACAGGTGTAAGTAAGTAAGTACTGTAACAGATATATTTTCTCATACTAACTTACTTATGCTTGTTATCCCTCGTCGAGGAGCATAGGCCGCTCACTATTTTCTCATAACTTGAGATAATTATCGTTCGATTAAGGTGAACTTCTATAGTGTGTTTCATATAAGTCAATAATAAAATAGATGGAGATTAGTTTCTGTCACGAATTAATTGTAAAGCCATTTAGAAAATAGGAAATACTGAGCACCTTTTTTCTTCCATGCTTCTGAGTGTTTTCAGTAATGAACATTTAGCGCTGAATCAAATACAGACCTTTTCAGTTTTGTGGTGAGCTTTAAGCCCCAGGATAACTTAAAAAGAATCCAGTGATAACCGCTTTCGTACTTAAACAATTTTGTCATGTAACATTATCTTAGTGTATTATCATCAGTGGATAGATCTCTCTCCCATATAATATGATGTCCCAGTTAAGTTTCTGGAAATTAGTTATCGATGGACATTTAGTTAATAATTCAGAAGTTGTTTTACGGGTATCTGTATGATCTTCAGATGGATTTTACCATAAACTAATATCAAATAGAAAGCCTCGGGAAAATGAGAATTAGATACTTGATTCGACTTATTTCGAGACCAATAAATAAATTAAATACACAGTCATTGGACAGCGACTAATCAACATAGGCAATCTGCTACTTTCATACAACTAATATCCCTTCAGAATTCTAATAAGGAAGTACACTACTTGGAAGGAAGTTTATAACCAGTTTTAAAACTTGACAGTATAAACTACTGATTAACAAAGGTAGCTGAAAACCAATAACTACATACATCAGAGTTGTCTATCAGAACTAGTCGGATATAAACAATTCACAGTTTTTTTCTTTTAACACTATAGCAACTATCCTACAATCGATTTCGAGTATGGTCAATTTTGGTTAAGCCTTTTTATTACTTACTTACTTACTTACTTTCGCCTGTGACTCCCAATGGAGCATAGTCCGCCGACCAGCTTTCTCCAACCCACTCTGTCCTGGGCCTTCTTTTCTAGTTCTTTCCAGTTCTTGTTCATTCTTCTCATGTCTGTCTCTATTTCTCGGCGTAATGTGTTCTTTGGTCTTCCTCTTCTCCTTTGACCTTCAGGATTCCATGTGAGGGCTTGTCTTGTGACGCAATTAGCTGATTTCATCAAGGTGTGCCCAATCCACTTCCAGCGCTTCTTCCTGATTTCTTCCTCTGCTGGAATCTGGTTTGTTCTCTCCTACAGTAACTTATTGCTGATAGTGTCTGGCCATCAGATCCGAAGCATTTTCCGTAGACAGCTGTTGATGAACACTTGTATCTTCTGGATAATGGCTTTCGTAGTTCTCCACGTCTCCGCCCCATACAGTAGAACTGTCTTCACATTTGTATTAAAATTCTAACCTTGGTGTTGGTTGACAACTGTTTTGAGCTCCAGATGTTTCTCAGTTGTAGGTATGCTGCTCTTGCTTTCCCGATCCTCGCCCTCACATCTGCATCTGATCCACCATGTTCATCAATGATGCTGCCCAGATATGTAAAGGTTTTCACATCCTCCAAAGCTTCTCCGTCAAGTGTAATTTGATTGGTGCATATTGTGTTGTATCGGAGAGTCTTGCTTTTCCCTTTGTTTATATTGAGACCTACTGATGCTGAGGCTGCTGCTACACTGGTCGTTTTCTCCTGCATTTGTTGTTGCGTTTGTGATAGAAGAGCCAGATCATCCGCGAAGTCTAGATCGTCAAGTTGCATCCTGCCTGTCCACTGTATCCCGTGATTTCCTCCAGATGTTGACGTCTTCATGATCCAGTCGATGACCAGGAGAAAGAGAAAGGGTGAGAGTAAGCAACCTTGCCTAACACCGGTCTTTACTTCAAACGAGTCGGTGAGTTGTCCTCCGTGGACAATTTGGCAGTTTAGTCCATCATAGGAGTTCCGTATGATATTTACTATCTTCTCAGGCACGCCGTAGTGTCGAAGAAGCTTCCATAATGTCGTCCTGTCCACGCTGTCAAATGCCTTCTCGTAGTCGATGAAGTTGATGTAGAGTGATGAATTCCATTAGATTGATTGTTCCACAATGATCCGCAGAGTTGCGATTTGATCTGTGCACGATCTATCCTTACGAAATCCAGCTTGTTGATCTCGAAGTTGGGCGTCCACGGAATCCTTCATCCTGTTTAACAATACTCGGTTGAAGACTTTTCCTGGTATTGAGAGAAGAGTGATGCCCCTATAGTTGTCGCATTTGCTCAGATCACCTTTCTTTGGTATCTTGATCAGAAGTTCTTTTTTCCAGTCTGTTGGTACTTGTTCTTCGTCCCAAATCTTACTGAAGAGGATGTGGAGTATCTTGGCAGTTGCTGTTACATTTGCTTTCAGTGCCTCTGCCGGGATGTTGTCTGGTCCTGCTGCTTTGCCGCTCTTGATTTGTCTAATGGCCATTCTGATCTCTTCAATTGTTGGTGGGCCAATATCGATTGGGAGGTCTGTGGGTGCTGCTTCGATGTTGGGTGGGTTCAGTGGAGCTGGTCGATTCAAGAGTTCCTTGAAGTGTTCTACCCACCTGTTTCGTTGTTCTTCAATATCGTTGATTACTTTGCCTTCCTTGTTTTTCACTGGTCTTTCTGGTTTACGGTAATTTCCAGCAAGTTTCTTTGTTGTATCATACAGTTGTCTCATGTTTCCCTCTCTTGCAGCCTTTTCCGCTGTCATCGCTAAATCTTCCACATATTTACGTTTGTCGGTTCTGATGCTCCTCTTCACTTGCTTGTTTGCCTCTGTGTATTCGGCTTGTGCCTTGGCTTTTTCCGCTCTTGTTCGGCTGATATTGATTGCTACCTTCTTGTTCCTCCTTGCTTCAATTTTATCCAGTGTACCAACAGTGATCCATTCCTTGTGATGTTGCTTCTTTTGGCCCAGAACCTCCTGACATGTTGAAACGATTGCCTCCTTGATACCTTTCCAGCTGCTCTCTATGGTGGTTCCCTCTCCATTAAGTAGGTCATGAAAGGCCTCAAACCTGTTGCTGAGGGCTATGTTAAATTCGTTGAGTTTGTCAGCATCTCGAAGAAAGGCCGTGTTAAACTTTTTTGATGTTGTCCGCGCCGTTGTCCAGTGCTTCTTGAGTTTTAGTTTCATCTTGGCGACCAGCAAATGGTGATCGGATGCTATATCAGCTCCTCTTCTGGTTCTCACATCCTCCATCGTCCTCCTGAACTTTTTGTTGATGCAGACATGGTCGATTTGATTTTGTGTAGTGTGATCCGGTGAAATCCAAGTGGCTTTGTGTATGTTTTTGTGTGGGAATATGGTGCCACCTATGACCAGTTTATTGAAGGCACATAGGTTTGCAAATCTCTCACCGTTTTCGTTCCTTTCTCCCAGTCCATGTCGTCCCATGACGTCTTCGTATCCAGTGTTGTCCATTCCAACCTTA